GCTTAAAGCCCACCCACGGATCGCATGCACTCAGACTCAGAATTACATTTAATTGAACTAAAAAAGACAAAGAACAATTAAATGACAAGCAATAGCACAAACAAAAGCCATAACAAGTTACAAATGGAATTAACAGTACTTTTAAGTTTTTCAGGTAGGTGTAACAATAATATTTCAGTACAGAATTATTACAGAAACTGAATAATTTATTCAGCTGTAAAATAACACTGCATAATCTTCACTGTATAAATAAACAGTAATGACACAGACAACAGCAGGTTTATTTAGGCTGCTGTCTGTTTAAGACCTTGTGTATGGATCTAATATACTGTTACACGTGTGTTTTGCTTCTCAGTGGTTTACATTCACTTAATACCCTATAATACCGACTGTTTTTATGTGAATACTCGCCAAGACAGGCATTTTGACATAATTTTGTATGTATTTGGCCGTTTGCGCACAATAAGGTGCAAAACATAACTCAATTCTGGTTCAATTTCATATCTTTTTGCGCTTGAATTGCTTAAAGTCGCTTGAATGGCAAGACTTAAAAGCATGTACAAATGATACATTCCGTCATCTTTCATCGCGTTATAAGTGCGGAACATGCAGGAATGAGTAGAATTATGCACAATCCGGCGCCGAAATTCAAGCCCTGCTCCGTCTCCTCCACAAATTCCTCAACTGTGAATGATGTGAGTGGCGTCACTGTGATGTCACTGAGAAGCTGCAGCCGTGGCGGGGATGATTTTTGGTGTGGCTGCCCGCCACGGCAGAATGAATGTAGCGGAAACACTGAATTTGTATAAGTAGACAATCAAAAACAACCCACACGAGAGCGATTAAGATTAAAACTGATCCACTCTGTAGATGTGTAGGAGCTAACCACCACAATAACCCATCTATTTAGATTACAGGTTCAACATGTTTTTTAAAGGACTGTTCTTAACCTTTTACATTTGGTACCCAGAGTGTTGAATATCTGGTTATTTCTGAGCCATACTCAGCCTTACAGCATATGTAGGGAAATTGTAGTCAGATATGACATAATGGAGTGTTTTTGAATAATTACAGTAGTTTAAGGAGGTGTTACTGACTACAGAGTTACCTAATTAAATTCATTATTGTCCCTTTGCATCGAGTTGTTTATTGTAATGATGATGGAGCCCTGGCCGCATGTGGACTACATGTGGTCCATCTCAAGCTCTGTTGGTCTAAAGAGAAGGGCAGACATGCACCCCTTTCATCAGATGATGTTCTCCTCACAGCTATCATTTGGACACAGCTTTTCCTAAAACACTGTTGATTATAAAAGTCTGTGATGAGTGCGGAAACGGACCGGAAACTTTTCGTTCGACTCTAAAATGATTGATCAGTTTAAGGATTAGAGCAGTATCAATGGTTTCGCTGCTGAGGCTGATGTTCGAGCTTTTTTGTTTTTAATTTCTTTTAAATTTTGGTTATGATTTCCATATTTTTGGTGCTTTATTTTTTCATTTTTATTTGGCATGATTCACAGTGCATGCTGGTTAACTGCCCTTCTGCATTTGCTTGCTAAGTTTGTGCACATTTTTAAAAATTTTATTTCACCTTATCGTGCATAACATTGTGTTGTAGTCCAAGTGTTCTCTTCACTGTGTGTTGTTCACAGTATAGTGTTGTTAGTGTGTAGATTTTAAGTTTTTTTTTTTACAGAAATTAATTGTTTAAACATTTTTATATTTAAAAATTTGTTTTTTTTTTCTTGGTAAAATACTCTGTTTTTTCATAGTAATTATTCATACTATTTTTAATCAGTGACGTAAACTTGAATTCTCTCCCCTATTTCTGAGCAATGGTGTGATTATGCAGTCATAAAGAAGTTTGAAATAGAGTGCAAGAAATGCCAAAAGACAAACAGATCATGTAGAGCGATCCTTCATTACTTTTTTGGAAGGGGGTCTTACTGACCTTATATGTATTACTGAGAACACTTTAACGCAAGCACAAAAATAGTTATGAAGGTTTAGGCATCACATAATGACATCAGTCTTGTCTAATACTCTTTCATCTAATCTTTTATCTATCTAATACTCCGTTTTACATCCTGTATTGCTTTCATTGGTGGTACCATAAACTTGAAGAAAAAAAACAAACAAACAAAAAAAACTCCCCCACAGTGGTGAAACACAATCAGTAGCTCAGTCACGCACCACTGATAGCTCATCCAAACATGGAGACAAGATGTCTGACATAAGCCGAGAGAGAGTCTGTTTGTATTCATGCCAGAGACTCTGTTCTAGAGTAAAAAGAGTGAGAGCATTGTCACACAAAACGCTCCGATTTAACTAAAGCTCTCAAATAGGCATTTTTGGAAATAGGAAAACATGAATAATGTGTTTCTCATCAAGCCACCCCTTTGCCAGACGCTGTTGGCTTTACACCAAGCCATCAACTCAACAGAGTCTTCTCATCCCAGGACAGGGATGCATGCAATTACTACCACTCATTAAATACAAGAGGCCAGATCTGTGAAGATCATTATGTGTGATAGCATCCAGACACTGCACTCATAAAGCCTCATTGCGTCCCTCGGGCAAACAGAGATCCGCTTAATGTTTGCCCAGGATCTGAGCACAAATAAGCACCTCTCCTGCAACTGAGAGTGTACAGGCACCCAGTTACAATTAAGGTCAGCAGCCCCTGTTCTTTGTAAACTCATGAGCACATCATGTCTGCTGAGACATGAGAGAGTTAGTTTGGACAGATTTAGATTGATGACCGTGCATGGTTAAAGCTCTTGAGACTTTGACCACAGCAGTATTGGAGTAATCCAGCATGGGAAGTAAAGTGATCCACAAAACCCCATGGCTAAAGCTCAGCTCTTTAACCTCCTGTTGCATAGAAGCCCTGCTTCACAAATAAAGCATTGTTATTGTTCTGCAATAGTAATAGAAGTGGCCATCACATTTGTTACATTTACATTTACATTTACATTTAGTCATTTTGCAGATGCTTGTATCCAAAGTGACTTACAATTTGGGGATACATAAAGCGATTCTTCTTAAAGAGGCAAACAGATACAGGAAGTGCTTGTAATACAAGTTTCTAGACATTGTTCAAATAAGTACAAGCTAGAAAGAGAAGGAATAAATAAAGAGAGAATTTTTTTAAATTTTTTTATTTTTTTTCATAATGATGATGATGAAGTCAAGTAGCTTCGAAAGAGATGAGTTTTCAGCTGTCGCTTGAAAATTGTCAGGGATTCAGCATTCCGGATAGGGGTGGGAAGATCGTTCCACCAGCCAGGAATGGTGAACGAGAATGTTCTGGAAAGTGATTTTGAGCCTCACTGTGATGATACCACGAGGCGTCGCTCACTAGCGGATCTCAGACTTCTGGAGGGGATGTAGATTCGTAGTAGTGAGTGGAAGTAGGCGGGTGCTGAGCCTGTGGCTGTTCTATATGCAAGCATCAATGTCTTGACCTTTATTCGAGCCGCGGCCGGTAGCCAGTGCAAGGAGATCAAGAGAGGTGTAACATGGGCTCTTTTGGGCTCGTTGTTAGGATAGTAATGATGGGCCGTAATCTTTTATATGAGTCAGATCATTGCAGACATGAAAAACTCTTGAGAACAACTTTGGTGTGTAATTTAAAGTGCATTAGTGTGTAGTTTGGTATATAGTTTAAAGGCTTAAAAATGCAACCTTCAATTGAGGGATTTTTTAGTGACTCTTTTTGCAGGTTACATTGCTTTGCCAGTAGTTGGCGACAAGTGACTGTCTTTGAGTCATTGAATAATTACTAAATTGATTTGTTCAAAAACACTGATTTATTTAGCAAAAAAAATACTGAATCACTGACTAACAGATGCATTCATAGTCAGATTCATTCAGAAACTAAATGTGTATTTTTTGAGTGAGTCATTGAATCATTGACTAAACTGATTAGTGTAGAAATGAAACAAGTGAGTTTCTTCATGAGTGAGCTACTGAATTATTTATTCTACTGATTTGTTCAAAAATGCTAATTTAATCAAAAATGAAACGCGTGCAAGTCACCGAATAACAATAAAACTGATTTGTTCAAAAACACTGATTCATTGAGGAATAAAAAATAGTGAATGTCATTAAGAGTGAGTCATTGAATCAATTACTCAACCAACTTAAGACGACTTCTTCAGGAATTGAATGTCATTATTGTATGTTGCTTGTTTAGATTTTATTTTCGTTGGCAATACAAAAATATACAACTGACTATATTGTATCTAAAATGTAATTTGCTCAATATTAAGTAAATTGTTTATTGTACTGTTGTATAAACAACAGCAACCTTGTTTGTGTGATTATTGATTAGTTCAATTATTGCATCTTAATACATCACAGAAGCACTATTTGAGTGCGGCGTATATAGTCAGTAGATGTCAATGCAGCTCACTACAAGGTTTTGGAACAGCTCTAGAGTATGAAACTAGATCTTACTATGGAATAAATGAGCCCCAGAAGACCGTGACCTCTGGAACAATCCAGTTGAGTCTGTTTGTTTGTTCCATCTGATATATTGCAAGTTTTTCATTCGGTGCCTGTCCGGAGAAGTCACGGTTAGAGTTCATGGCAGCCACAGATCCAAAAACAATTTAACCACTTTTGACAGGGGTTCCGATACTTGTCAGTTAGTATTGATGTACATGTCAACATGCATCCTAGCACAGGGGTGGTTTGGCTACAGAGACATGGCTTATTAAGAACATTTGACAAACCAACATTAAAACGAAAGATTCCATTTTGTTTGTCCTGAAAAGTTCAAAGCACTTCATTTAATATTTTAAACCATGTTTATAAATATGAGGTAAAACAACATGTGCTGTTATGACTATAACGGACAGTGAATATTTGAAAGCCACAACATTTAATGTTTTCAAGACACTTTTGGTTATTATGACTTTATGCTCCTTTTTAGGATATGCCAGAGTTTAGTTTTATTTTATGTTGCACTCTTCAGTTGAATTTTCCCCCTTACAGGCACATTGTGGTCTGTGGTCATATCACGCTCGAAAGTGTTTCCAACTTCCTTAAAGACTTCCTACACAAGGACAGGGATGATGTCAATGTAGAAATTGTTTTTCTTCATAAGTAAGTACAATTCCCTTTGGAATACATTTTAGAAACTTGATGGAGCCTTTTCGCGCTGTAAAGAATATAATGACTGCATGTTACTAAGAAAAACAAATAAATCAAATATAGTTGCCTGTTTTTATATAACAAAGAGATCAGCCAATAAGCTGTATTGGCATTCTTTTGTTAGCCGCTAGTGGTGCACAAATGACACTGTTCTTATAAACTTATAGCATTCTCAAAAAATCATTACTTTTTCATTATAACATACTTTCTCTTTTTGCCAAACTCTAGTATTTCCCCTAATCTTGAGCTGGAAGCCTTGTTCAAACGTCACTTCACTCAGGTGGAATTCTATCAAGGATCGGTCCTCAACCCACATGATCTAGCAAGAGTGAAGGTAACTTCATAAAAACTTACCATTTGATCTGACAGTTTAATAATGGGGTCAAACATTGATACATTTACAAATTAATTTGTTCATTACAGATGCAGAATTGTAGAGACATTGTAGATAATAATGCAGCAGATTGTTAGTATATTTTTGATGTTTTAATGCTGTTCTGATCACTGAGGCGTCACCTTTTCTTTTCCATCTTGTACAGATCGAGTCAGCGGATGCCTGCTTGATTCTTGCAAACAAATACTGTGCAGACCCCGATGCTGAAGATGCCTCTAATATCATGAGGTCAGTTCGGTGAAGGGTTACGTTTGCTATCAACACATTTGAGCACATCTTATTTTGATGTTTGTGGGCAGCATCATACACTCACTAGGGACATCCTCCTGTAAAAAAGATGGATTGAAAGCTGATGTCTTTCACCCTTCTGTGCTGTTAAAGGAAGGTGTGAATGGGATACTTGGCGTCTCAGGTCAGATTCACACGTTATACCTGGACACAGATGAAAAGAGCCAGAAGGAATTTCCTTTGGGATGGAGTCAACTAATATTGCTCTGAAAAAGTGTATGTGAAGGGAGGGCAAACATATATCCCTTCCACCTTTCATGCTGGAGATGTTCTTTAGCCATGAGTAATGCACAGAATTGCACCCAGTCTGGCCTGTTTGGAAAATGAAATATTCATTTAGGCAGGTCTTGGAGTGCTCTTTTGAACTAATGTGTTATAGAGCAGCTTAATATGGAAATAAATTCTGCACCTCTCTTACGAGACTGGAGAGAAATCCAGACTGGATTTCACAGGGAAATCATACCGTTCCGCCACATATCACAGGCTCCTCTATGGGAATGAAAGATTAATTCGTTTTTTATTCATTCAGCAGATGCTTGTTTTTAATCCAAAGTGACTTACGATGATGAATTCTGGGACGGTCCTCCTGGAGGTTAAAGGTGCACTCAGTAGGTTTTTGTTTATGTGAGGGAGCAACCTGCTCCATGCAGAATAAAACAGATTTTTCTAGAAGATTAATATGTCTAGAGTCTTTATCTCATGTGAGTGTACATCATTTTAATATTTCTCAAAAGTGCTGTTCATATAATACCATTCAAAAGTTTGAGGTCAGTAAGATGGAAATAATACCTTTGTTTAGCAAGGATGCATTAAATTGATAAAAAATTTAATTGTTACAAAAAATGTATTTCAAATGTATTTTATTTGAACTTTGAAATCATCAACGAATCATGAAAAATTTTTTTGCAGTTTCCACAAAAAATATTAAGTAGCGTAACTGTTTTCAACATTGAAAATATTAAGTTTTTTTTTTCTTGAACACCTAATCAGCATATTAGAATGACCCCAAACTTTTGAGGTCTATCTTTGCGGATTTTTTTAATAAGCAATACATTACTGAATGCACCTTTAAGCTAAAGTCATACCTCTAAAGAAACAAACCAAGTTTAAAATGTATATATTCCATCTTTTTTCTTTTTCCCACAAATGCTGTTTTATGTTGGCTTTAACTGACCTGTAAATTAATACAGTTTCTCCTCTTTTTTTACAGAGTAATATCTATAAAGAACTACCATCCAAAGATCAGAATAATCACTCAAATGTTGCAGTACCACAACAAGGTAGGACGTGTATTTTTTCTGTTTCTATGTCAATTCAAATCAACAAGAAAATGAAAAAGACCTAAACAGAAAGAATACAAATAATGTACAAAGAGGCTATAATTTTAATAAAAAAATAATTAAAAAAAATCTGACATGTGGCAGATAAACATGTGCCATATGAGAACAGGCTTTCAGATTCTGCTGTCCATGACAATAGGAATTTTATAAGTCCACAGGAATCATATACAGTATGTCTACATATTTTTTCCCTTCAGTGTTTATCCCCTATTACAGCAACATGAACGCAGCTTTGTATTAATCAGGGAGTGCTGGAACAGGAGATAGATGTTAATGACTTGATGGATGTTTTTTGTTCATGGGACAGTTCACTCGAGAGCAGTTGAATGTCAACTGTAGACAACTGTTTTAGAGGACTGTCAGCGAACCCGCTGTGTTAGCAATGAGATATGAAATAGTGACGTGCTACTGTTATGAGATTTGCTTTATCAGTTTGACAGATTTATATAATCTAACAAGGTAGGGGAGACCGTGGACTGTTGTAACATGCTTTGTTGTGACAGTGTTTTGTGTTTCAGACCTTAATATAATATATATTAAGTTAATGTTTTTCTGCTACAAATTAATTTAGATCAACCACTTCTCCCTAAACTGTAAGAAATGTATTGATTTTATTTTATTTTTTTGCTGGTGTTTTTCATTACTACACTTGTTAGACTTCTCAGCAGGGGACATTGTTAACTTCCCCTTGTCTCGTCTTGTGTGTCCTCAGGCCCATCTGCTAAACATTCCCAGCTGGAACTGGAAGGAGGGTGATGATGCGATCTGCCTGGCCGAGCTGAAGGCAGGCTTCATAGCCCAGAGCTGCCTGGCACAGGGCCTGTCCACCATGCTCGCCAACCTCTTCTCCATGAGGTCATACATCAAGGTACTGTCAGCCCGTCTTAGGCCTTGATAAAACCCTTAGAGTAGAATCAGCCTCCATCCCCACTTCAGAGCCATTATGGTATGGAGTAAATCATCTTCTGAGCCTGGCGGTCTCATTTGGGACCTACTCGGGACGGCAACACAGCATTGCCGCTGCCATTATGAGGTAATTTATATGAGTCAATGGCATGGTGGAAGTGAGAATGTAAATTAGTGGTTTTTCCTCTTGCTGAATTTACTGTTCTCCTGTGTGCCGATAGAGCGGGGAAATGCGAACCATGTGTCTGTTTTATAGTCAATGAACTGCACCCCAAAGCCATCTTTATTTATCGTCCAACTGAACCAGACTGCTCAGAGTCGTACGGATTGCTCTTTTTAAGAAAACACTAAATAAAACGGTCTGAGGCCTGAATGACTGCAGTGAGGTGGTGGGTTGTTATCAGGTGGTTCAGATTTGGATGGAGCCCTTTGGAAAAATTGAGAGATCAAGAGAGAGCATGAGTGTGCGATCAGACTGAAGAATTTCGCAGAGATCGTAAAACTTATTCTGAAATCCGCAAGGGTTTATATTTTACTTGCTTTGATTATTTTTTTTCAAGACTGTGCAGGCTTTCAACATGGAGAGCAGCATTCTCTTGTCATAAAGAGATGAGGAATGACTTTGTAATGACTGTTTAAATATGGCATATGTGGAAACATCTGCAGGGCACATCAGTCTTCTCATAAAAACATGGAGGAGAGACAGCCCAGACCACCCATGCCAGAGTGCAGCATACAAACACACACATCAAACCTCTCAGTCCAGTGTCCATACTTATAAAAGATACCATGGTAACACCAAAATCACTTTCTATGTCTCAAACAGGGCATCTGTTAGGGTGAAGAGGAAAGTGTATCAATACGGTTTAAAATGCCAGTCATCTCTTAATGAGTCTGTTGGCAACATACTGTAATACAGAGAAAAATTAACATTTTGTCCATCAGCTGTCAGTTGTAATTAGGTTAGTTGTAAAATAGGCTCTGTCCCAATACTACATTAGCTGCCTTACTGTCTGCTAGGGATGTAATGGTACACAAAACACTGCAAAAAATGGCTTATCTTACTTAGTATTTTTGTCTTGTTTCTAGTCAAAATATCTAAAAATTCTTAAATCAAGATACTTATACTAGATAAGCCAAATGACTTAAGATATTTAGTCTTGTTTCCAGGAGGGGAAAAAACTAAATTAAGCGCATTTTGCTTAAAACAAGTAAAATTATCTGCCAGTGGGGTAAGTAAAATACTCTTGTTTTAAGAATATAAAACTCTCAAGAGTAAAAGTGACAGTAAAGACTTTTACATTGTTAGAAAAGATTTCTATTTCAAAATGTACTGTTCATTAAAGAA